AATACTTCCTCTTCTCTTTTTTTTTTCATTTTTTTTTTTAATTTTTTTTAAAATGTTGATTGATACAACGAATGATCGAGAAAATAGCTACCAAAAAACTGATCATTCAAATACACTGGAGATATCCAAGCAAAAATTATCTACTTCTAGCCAGAGATTTTGGAGGTTAGAGCGGTGGGTAACAGAACAAAGTGAAGGACCAGAAAGGCGAAGGACAGGACACCCACACAACTGCATGCATGCACAAACATACACTCAAACACCACGAGGCACAGAGCGGCGTTTATGCGGGACTGGCTGGCCTGCAGTGTAAAGTGCTGATTGGTGGAAGGCGGTTTTTGAGACGTCACACCAGCAGTTCTGCCGTATAGGCATTGCTTTCATGACTATCAATACCGTAACTTTTGACTTCACTTCAAAATAGTCGTTGTTTTTTGACTCGACAAACAGTCTGCCAAATATTAATTGATTATTGCTGAAACTTTTGCATTTGCCAAATTTTGCATCCGTATATGCATACGTCAATCACTGGCTTCTAGTGTTTTCCTTAAACGGATTTGGTAGGAGACAATCAATATATGTAGAACAAGCATTTAATTTGTTGCTGCCTGGTACCTTTTTTTAGCGGTATTGTTCATTTCCTAAACGAAGTTTGTATATGTATAGAAGTTACTTTGATATAATATAAGCAACGGTGAGATATTTTTTCGTCTTAAGAAGTTTGCTTATTATTCGTCTTTTCGAAAAGCTTTAAATACTTGACGAAATATTTGTTTATGTACTTTATTGTTGCAGTTAAGACGTAAAAAAAAACACTAGGAATATTCATTGACGATCATTATTAAAATTTTTTGCCGTTGTACCTGTGCCTTTATTTGCTTTCTTATTATTATTATTTTTTTCCATCGTGCCTTCGGGTCCTTCCTCTTTTGGCAGAATTGTAGATGAAAGGAAAAACCGATGTGTTTTGTTTTGCTTATTTTCTAACATTCTGACAGCGGTTGTGGGAGAATCCCAAATTTGTACCGCGTGGAACACAATATTTCACACTTTAACTTATTCAGTGTTGGCTATTTTAGGAACAGACTGGCATCCTTTAGCGTCTGTCTGTTAATTCACAAACGTTTTTTTATTTTGTGAAGGAGTTTTTTTTTGCTTTTTGATGTTTTAATGGAATGATTATTGCAAGATTTATTGCCTTTTATATTTAGCTTTATCTAAGCGTCTGATTTTTTACCGTGACTCAGTCATTCGATGGGAGTTTATTAATTAAATCCTGTTAAGCAGTAAATTTGGTGATGTCATAAACAGTTTTGACCACTGTTTATCATAAAGTTGACAGGTTCATTCTACCTTTGTAGTGTTTTTTTTCTCTCGAATATTTAGGCTTTTTTTACGGGCTGTTTAGTGCACTTTTTAAATAGCCACTTAACTGCAGATTTTTTCTAATTAAGGAGTTGCTTAATTGGGGGTTCAAGAAATGGTTGATAATGGAAGTGATGAGGAGACACAACAGGAGATTCAGATCAAAGTAAAGACTACGACGGAAAGTTATGAAATAAAGGTGCCTGAAAAATCGAGGATCGAAAAGGTATTATTTTAGGTGTCTCTGTTACTTCGCGTATCATTGTTTGTTTCACTTACTTTATACCTTATCAGTGGCTATATTTTATAGTTTCTGTTAGTGTTTCAGCACAGTTTTTTTATTTTACTTTTCATTTAGTAGTGGAAGCAGTGTATTTTATTCTACCACAAATAAGTAGATTGCTGACAGAAAATGGCAAAAAATTTTGATTTACTAGAGACATGTCGATGTTATTGTAAAAAGAGGGAGCATTTTGGTGCTCTTGTTATTTTTTTTTTTATTTATTTTTTTTTTTTTTGACTTCACCTGCTTCTAATTTGTAGAGATTTGTTAAACAGCTTAGGAAAGGTTGTTTTTAGTGCTGATATTCTGCCGTACTAGTAAAATTTTTTAGGTTAAAGCTATACTTTCTCAGAAGATTAACCAACCAGTCGAAAAACTATGCCTAATATTTTCTGGAAAGATTCTCAAGGACCATGAAACGATCGAACAACATTGTTGGTTACTTAACAAGTTTTTTCTACAAAATTGAAGGCCATTTTCAGGATTTTTGGTTCTTTATTATGACGAATAAGGATTTGTTATTTTGCTTTTAGGTTTTCGATTAGATTTTTGTTATGGATTCGAAAAATAGTTTTTTGTTGGTATTTTCTGCATTAGCTTTTTTTTTTTAGCTATTAAAGATGGTATGGCGATTCATTTGGTAATTCGCCAACACCAGAAGGTAGGCGTATTTTATTACATGTTTAGTTTTAAAATTTCCTTTTTTCTCCTATTTTTAATAGCAATGGACAAATAATTTTAGCCAGCTACAAGCGGATTTTCGGGATCTTCAAGCTCAGTTGGTTCCACCGGCACAGGAGTAAGTATATTTTTGTAACATTTCGTCAAAAAGTAAAGGAAGTAACATGCACTCGGCATTTAACTGTTTTATTCATCTATTTTTTGGACGAAACAATTTATGAAATTAGGGAAACAATTCAACACAAAATCCTTTTGCACCAATGATGGGAGGTGCTGGAAATCCTATGGGGATTGCACAACAAATGGTACAGAACCCGGAAATGATCCGTCAGTTTATGAACAGCCCAATAATGCAGTCTCTAATGAGTAATCCAGAAATATTTCGGCATTTTGTAGCTGAGAATCCACAGATGCAACAAATTATTGAGGTGATTTTAAATAATTTTTTTAGTTTACTTCGATTCATTTCGTGATTCCTGGAAGTCAGCTAAGTCTCCTGTGTTGAGCAAAAGGTTTTGTTTATTTATTCGTCATAGTGAGCAGACATAAATTTTTAGGCGAATCCGGAATTAGGTCATATGCTCAACGATCCAGATTTAATACGACAAACATTAGAGATGGTTCGAAACCCTACCATGTTTCAAGAAATGATGAGGAATCATGACCGTGCTGTGCGCAACTTACAGGCTTGTTTTTTTTTTTTTGTTAATGGTCTTTACCATTTTCCAAGTATTTTTAGATATAAGTCTTTATCTTCTATGGTTCTGGTGTTGTTATACTCTGAAGATGCACTGAAACAAAATAGTGAGGAGGCATTGTAATAGAATTATTGTCTACTTTTGTCTGCAACTTTGAGCATTTTATGATTTTTGTAATTTATTTATAGAAACTCGTGTGCCAAAATTCTGTTTAATGTGGAAAGTTTTTTGGTAGTGCACAGGATTTGTTTCTTTCTAATTTAGTGATGGAAGTAATATAACTAATGCTGTGAACATTTTTCATCGTTATAGGGTATTCCTGGCGGCCAAGCCGCTCTTCAACGTTTGTATCAGGATATTCAGGAACCGTTACTGAACAGTGCAACAAGTTCATTAGCAGGGAATCCGTTTGCCTCTCTTGTCGATAATTCTGGGAATACAAGTAATTGAATTTTGTTTACTCGTGTTTTATTACTCATCTGTAAAGTTATATTTCAAGAAACAACAGCACTTTTGTCTCGGAAAGAGCCTTGAAGTAGTGATAGGAATAAAGTTGGGTAGGTTTATTTCATTCTAGATTGACATTTATTCGTTTTTGTATTCACATTTTCATTGAATTTAATTGTGAAGTTTTCTTTTGTCTTGAGTGCCAACTTACATCTTTCAATTTTTTTATTATGGATGTATGTATTGGGTAATTTTTGTATTTATTAAATCTACTTGCTTGTAATATATACATATGTTACATAAATGTATCTTTTTCTCGGCGTAACGGGTGGCAGTTTTAAACTTTTTAAACACAAACTATTAAATTTTCAACCACCTGTTCTTTAAGCATATTGGTTCTTGAAAAGTGGTTTAAATTTAGCATCACGAAGCCAGCGTGCTGGTGTAGAAAATGCTGAAGCATTGCCAAACCCTTGGGGTCCTGCCAATAGGAATACGCAGACGAGTACTAATGGAACAAGTAATGGCACCGAGAACAGGACGTCGCAGGGCGAAGAAAGTGAGCTATTTTTTTAAGTGTTTTAAAAGCACTTTTGTCTTGCTGTAAGACATATCAGTTCCCCGCATTTATTGGCCACTTTATTGTTACGGCTCTTCATTTACTTTCTAAAACGGATTTTGAGGTGTTTATTAAATTTTTTCATTAAAGGATTTTTTCTTGTTTAAAATTGTTTTTTTTATTTTTTGAAATTATTACTGATTGTTTTTTATTATTTCACTAGAATTTTGCTATTTTAAGCAGCGATCCTCTCAACTTTTAGTTTTTTTACTCTAACTAAACTCTATAAGTTTGCCTCTGTGTAGCAATTATTCGTCAATTAATTTACGTTAATCATTACGTAGTAAAAGTACCCCACCAAGAGCGTGTTAAATTTATTGTTTTTATTTGGTAGTGTTTCTGTCTCCAGATAAGCATTTTTGTGACAACCTATTCCACTCAAATGATTGATATCACCATTTCCGATTGAAGTTTTTCTTCATATAATAGGAATTTTTAAGCAAAGCTTTGAATATTCTTTTTGCGCGAGAGGAAGGATCAGCACAAGTAAATCAAGTAGATGATAATAAATCTTTATTTTCGCACCCTAGTAGGTTTAGAAAAAAGGTTTAGATTTTGATAAAGTGTTACAAGATCATGTATAAGAAACTTTAAGTTTATTTGCGTAGATTTCATTTAGTGTTTGCTCAAGACTGCTTTGCAAATTATTTATCAACTCATCAAGTCTTAAATTTTGTTTAATCTTCTTTTATCCTTTAGGGTAAATTTTTTTAAAAACCCCGCAGTTATTTTGGTTAAGAAAGAAGTTTTCCTTTACCAGTGGTCTCGAGCTTCTTTTTCACATTGTTTGTTTTTAAAGATAAAATCCTATTGTCTTTCGCTACTAAATCTTCCTTTTCTTTCTCTCGCCTCTAATACTGTTACTGCTCTCTTTCATACTTGCGGTCACTTTTGTTAAGTCGGGGATGTACAAAAACATTGTGTATGGTAGTCTACTTGTCTTAAAATTATGAGCCGCAAAATGGCAGAAAAATCTTAAAGGCTGAAGCCGTTGCTTTTATTGAACCTTCCTTACCATCCAATACAGCTTTTGCCAGTGTTAAAGTAATTGTCATCCAAGGGTTTTCTTGCAACTTTGATACGACTTTGTCCATTACTCATGATTAGAATCATTGGTCTACTGTTTGCTTAAATTTGAAATTTAATGGTTGAACGTTGTGTGTAGTTTACTCTGTAAAGAGCGATAGAAAGTTTGAATAGCTAATGCTCAGGAATAACCAAATTATAGTGACAAGTGTCTATCTTAACAGTTTATAACAATTTATTGCAATTTGATTTCTAACAGGTCGTACTATATATTTTGGGGAATTACTGAGCCACATTTAGGCCAAATAGCAACACTAACCTTTTTAAGTCTGTATGCTATTTTAACTATAACCTTACAGTCATAGCTTTTGAGAAGCAAGAGTAGCCAAAGTTTTGGTTTGGGCGAGAACTCTAGGAGCTTTCTAGGACGTTTTGTAGGTTCATTCTTTTCCCTTTATTTACTAGGAGATGTCTATTCAACAGTGGTAAGGTCAAACACTCCCTGCTCGGTGATAGCTTAAAGTCTCTTTTTTGTGCACAGTCAGAATCCGCGGCATAAATCGAGAAGTCATAGAGTACATGCGTCAGAAATCATTCAATAAGCAGACTGAAAGAGGTGTGTCCAGCAGCTGCTGAAGAGATTATATTTTCTGCAGAGTTTTCTAAATGACGTTATATAGGTCTGGAGAGGTTCAGAAGCTAGTGCTTAAAACCGAGAACTAAAATACAATAACGCTGCACCAGGATTCAGCCAAAGGATACTGTACGTCTTGTGTTCCAATAAGCAGCTTTCTACTAAAGGGGAAATCATAAATCTGACTGGAGTTATGATCTTTCATGAGACCTATTGCTAGTTACGGATTGGTTTTTGTGTTTTTTTCGTAAGACCGTGGGATCGCTTTGTATATATTTTTATTATTCTTTGACTCCAAATATTTTTTTTTTT